GGTTCTGAGCTCATCAAGAAGACCTTGGACAGTGTAGTTCTCCAGATTTCTTCCTTCTTCCATGGCTGTGGCTTTCGTGTACCACTCAGTTGGAAGAGATCTCAGCAACCTTACATTCTTTTCTTTGGGAGAAAGAACGTGGTTAAGTGATGCAAGATCATTCAAGATTTTGTGGAATCTTTCATCCAGCATATCAAATGATTCTCCGGGAAGCATTTTGAAGCCTTTGAACTTCTCAAGCAGGACTTCTATCTTCTGCTTTCTCAAGTCCTCTGAACCCTCACATAGCTTCCCAAGACCTTGCCATATCTCCATGGCAGTCTTGAGGTGCTTAATTTTGGAGAAGGTGATGGGGTCAAGTGTCTTGAAGATGGCTGCTTTGGCGACGTTATCCAGATTGTGCTTTTTGCAAGTTGTTGCCTAGGAAGACGATGGGGTCAAGTGTCTGATGCAGACTAGGCTGGATGTCCTGACACTAGACGCTCCACCTCTGGTTACTGCGTCTTCCTAGGCAACAACTTGGTCTCCTGGTCGTCCAAGTGCCAGGCCACTACCTCCCGATCCAGTGCCAATGCCGAGTACCGGGCTGTGGCGAATTCCGTAGCTGAGACTTCGTGGATCCGCAACCTTCTCCTTGAGCTACGGAAGCCACTCCGATGTGCCACCCTTGTTTTCTGTGACAATATCAGTGCCGTCTACCTATCATCAAATCTGGCACAGCACTAGCGGACCAAACATGTGGAGGTCGACATACACTTTGTCCAGGACAAAGTAGCACTTGGGCAGGTTCGTGTTCTTCATGTGCCTTCTTCTTCCGAGTATGCTGACATCTTCACCAAAGGCCTACCGTCCCTGCTCTTCCTCGAGTTCAAATCCAGCTTAGGCGTCCGACCTCCTCCACATCCGACGTAGCCGGGAGCATGCTAAATATATTAATTATATTTATTATTCTTGTAATTATAGTGTGACCATACTTGTATAGATTTCCTAATGTGGCTCTCCTACTATGATTAGGATTGAAGCCTCTAGTATATATTGATGTATTCTCTACACAATTATTCAATGGAAATATTCTTTCTACAGTATTCGTCTACTTTTGACTTTTGGAACTGTTTATCTAAGCAATTTGACTCATCAAATTCTCTCGATGTGTAGGCCTAAATATAGTCATGTGTGATCTTGTTTGATTTGTCTTAACATATAGATTATTAATATATAATTTTTATAGGTTTTTAATATACAAATTACAATATAAAATGGATTAAAGAAATGCATTGGATGGTGTGTAAAAATGAAAGTGGACAAATACTCTAGGATGGAGGTAGTAATAGTTAAGAGCCACGGTTGTCAAAAAAAATAATTAAGAACCACAAAGCGACAAATTGATAAATAAATTTAAAAATTATTTTTTAATTGATAAATAGTTGTAAAAGACTACTAAAATGTGAGGTAAAAATTATGCACTTTTCCTTGTAATGATTGTAAAATTATATGAGAAAATATAATTAAAGATTTGTAAAAAAAGAGAATAATGATTTTTTAATGAAGAGACTTGGCGGTGTTAATGATCTTTATATATGTAATTATGTGTTCATAAATTGTTCTTTGAAATTACGTTGTGGTACCACTAAGCGGTTTCAATAAACATATAGTTTCTTTTTGTGTGACTGTGTGTACGTAATTATATAGATGTAGGGATGTTCTCCCATAATTATTAAGACTTTAAAATACTTTGTATTAAAACCCACACTTGTAATTCTATGGAATCTTATTTAGCTTCCGCAATGTTTTATTTAAATTACTTCAGAAATTATTTTTATTATGTTTTAACGAAACTATGTTTTAAATGTTTTGAAATTACTATTGCTTTTTACTTTTTCAGATTATGAGATGTGACTTTACAAATTTATTGGCTCCAGCCTGCTAACCCACATGAGTCGGGTTAAACGAGTCGCAGTGTTATAACTCGGTATCGGAGCAAACAATTTTAAAATAAGTTTTGAACCAAAGTGATTTTCATCTTGCATCCATACTCTTCACGTTGACTGCATTCTAGGAGGTAACATGAAACCTTTTATGTGTTTAAATAAATATATTTAAATAGAGATGAATATTACTTGTGATTTCGATGTATTTCATACTACTTAGATTATATGGTTAGATGAACTATGTGTCTGAAACAAGAAGAGTATTTATATACAGACTAGCCAGACAAATTCTAAACCTAGGCAAAATGGCACTCGGAATCAAACTCTAAGAGGGGAAATTTTATTCAGTCTTTTCTATGGAGAATGACTCCAGAATGGTGAAGATGACTAATTAAAATTAAAGAATGACAGTGATAACTTAAGTTGGTTGGTGAAATTATAGATATCGGTTTCTCTTGATGGCCAAGACAAGCTCTTTTCGGAGTAACTCTTGTAATGATAATCTAGACGACCTACTCTTGGAGATCATCAGCTTAACAGATTAAAGAGTCGTTAATGAAATCAATGGTTTATGAAATTTGTTATTAATTCATGTTTTGTTATAATAATCTCAACTTTAAAAAAGACCTTTTGAAAATGTATGACTATATATAAATGAAGAAAGGGTGTTTTACCTTGTGATGATTGTGAAATTATATCGAAAAAATAACCAAAGATTTGTGAAAAAGAAAATAAGACCGTTTTTAATGAATGGACTTGGCGATGTTAATGACCGTTATATATGTGATTATGTGTTCATAAGTTATTCTTTGAAGTCTATCTTGTAGCTACTCAACAATTTCGCTAAGCATGCGGGTTCCTTTTTGTGTGATTGTGATTAAGTAATTAGAACAGTGGATCCAAATCTGGAAGATGCTGGGAAAGGAGAGTTGGTCTAAAGATGCATGGTTGTTCTCCCATAATTATTAATACATTAAAATACTTTGGTATTCAAACCCAAATGTAATTTTGTTAAATCTTATTTATCTTCGGCAACGTTTTATTTAAATTACTTCATAAAATATTTTTAATATATTTTGAGGAAATTATGTTTTAAATATTTTGAAATTACTATTATTATTATTATAAATTTTTGAAATTATGAGATGTTACTTTACCAATATGATAATGCTACGACTTGCTAACCCACGCGTGTTGAGTTAAGTTAGTTAGACTGTTAAAATATAGGCCAAGAAGATATAGAAGGATAATATTAATAGCATGAACTTGCTCAAGAATTAGTGAAGAATAAGAAGCATGGATGAATGAGGCTATTTATAGATACAAATGAAGGTCATGCCACCACTTATGACTAAAATAACTCAATAATATTTTGAATAAACAATCCTCCTATTTACAACAGCAGCAGGAAAAATTGTGCGGGAATGGTTGGAGGATGATACTTTTACCTCAACCTCCCACAATCTCTTGCTGAGTGCTGTCTTTCTTCCGTCAAATTCTTGAGATCTTTTTTCTTCCCATCGAGTGCACTGGTTGAGCCTAGGCAATTTCCTAGCGCTAGAAGGGATTCAACAAAATTGACAATCAAATTCAGACAATATCTAGAGACGATGATGGGGGCACAAATTTAATGATATTACGGAAGAATCTAATCCATGCATCTCATTCTCTAACAGTGCATATTACTCCCGAAATTCACATGGAGAAGATGTTGGTGTTGTTCTCTGCCCTATATGTAACGCCATGAGACCCAATCTATTAGAATTGATTAATTTAATTAATTAATTACTAACTTGGACCGGGGTTGGGAAAATAAAATCCTTAGAAAAATCATTTGATCATACCATAATATTCGTCTCTGATTCCAGACACGCAAACGGATCTCGATTCGGACTCGTTCGGGGGGAAACGCACGTACCATTCAGTTCAGATTTTACACAACGAAGTATGAGTTAGGGAGTAACTCCCACTTCAACTCCCATGCCACACCCCCTCCACCCCCATTAAATCCACATTCATTTTCTTCTTAAATTCCCATTATTCCCATTCAATATAATTGTCTTCTCCCCTCCTTCTTTCTTAGCATTTGTATCTCCCATTTCCTAACACACCCAACTCCCCCTCTCCCTTCTCTTGTGTTTCGGCCAACCAATAGCAGCCAAAGAAGAAGTTTTCGGCGAGTAGACGAGGAGGAAGGAAGAGGAAGAGAAGGAGGGTTATGCGAGAAGTCATTCGTCATCCATTCGTTCATCCCGTATCTTCCGTCAATCCCTGTGTTAGAGGTGAGTATGTTTCCCTCTAACTTTAGAATTTATAGTTCAATCATATTGTTATATTTATAGGATTACCCCGCATTATCATGACTTTTCCGTTATTTAGACTTTTCGATTACGAACTGGTTAGTATAGATGTTTTGAAACTCCGTAAACTCATAGACTACCTTACAAGAAAACATAAATGTTCATTTCAAAACTTTCAACGTATTGATGACAATTAAATAGGCCGAACAAGAACGTGCGTGCTCTGGTAATCGATTGACAAGACATGATAATCGATTATCAGACCACGCTGAACTTCTCGTTTTAACCACAGAGTGTGACAATCAATTATCACGTAGGTGATAATCGATTATCAGGGATTCCTGAGCCAGAGGTTGTTTCACATGATAATCAGTTATCACAGAGCAATAATCAATTATCAGGCCTCTCTGAACTTGGGTTTCCAGACAAACCAATGTTACAATCGATTGTCACCTTGGGGACAATCGACTATCAGAGCCTGCAGAACCTTGGGCTAGGAACTCCCATGCCTGAAAATCGGTTATCACCAACGAAGCATCGATTATCGTCATCGATTACCATGTACATCCTTGATGGGTCGCTACCTGCCGACCCAATCGCAGCAAATGTGGTGAAACGACGTGCACCTAGCTACACGCTGGAGTGCGGTCGGCTGTACAAGTGATCGTACAATGGTACATTATTGAGATGCCTAAGAAGGGACGAGGCGCAGAAGTTAATGGAGGAAATCCATGAAGGGATATGCTCAGCACATCAGGGAGCCTTTACAATGTCCAGAAAGGTGACCCTACAAGGGTATTTCTGGCCAACGATTATCAGAGATTGTGCAGAGTATGTGCATAATGCAAGGTTTGCCAGGAATTCCAAAAGGTGCCGGGGCGACCGGCAACGAATTATACCCCGATCAGCACGACGATTCCCTTTGCCCGATGGGGTATTGATCTGGTTGGCATTTTGCCTCGGGGGACAGGGAACAACACGTACCTGGTGGTCGCGATCGTCTACTTTACCAAGTGGGTCGAGGCAGCCCCCGTGCCGACCATCACTGAAGAACAGATGAGGAAGTTTGTATCCAAGCAAATCTTGTGTCGATTCGGGGTGCCCCAGCAGATCATCACCGACAATGGAACCCAGTTCGAGGCTAAAGGGTTCAATGAGTTTCTACAGAGCTGGGGCATAAAACACAGTTATGCAGCGGTCGGGTACCCCTAGACCAATGGGCAGGTCGAGAACACTAATCGTACCATCGTGGATGGCCTGAAGAAGAAGATAATGGAATGCAAAAGCGCCTGGGTGGAGGAGTTGCCTTACATCTTGTGGACCTACAGAACTACCCCGAGGAAGGCCACAGGTGAAACTCTGTTCTCACTCACATATGGATTTGAAGCAAGGGCTCCAGCGGAGACCTCGTTGCGGAGTTATAGAGTGGAGACATTTGATGCCCAGGAGAATGAAGAAAACGTAAGGGCAGAACTGCACCTCATTGATGAGCGAAGAGAGAGGGCGTACATACGGGCGGAGAACTGCCGTCGGCAGGTCAAGTCATATCACGACCAGCGAGTGCGACCAAGGCAGTTCAGAGTGGGCGACTGTGTCCTTAGGAAAAGGGAGGTCAGTCGGCCGACCGATGGAGGGAAGTTTGCTAAGAGCTTCAAAGGGCCATATATCATAAAGGAAGCGTTAGCCGATGGGACGTTTAAATTACAAACACCAGCTGGGGGCGACGTTCCGCGAGTATGGAATGCCGCCAATCTTATTAAATTTTACCAATAGATTGTATTTCAGCCATGTTTCTCTTAAAGTTTAATAGAACCAGCATTTTGGGGTATCTTCGCTTCCATTTTTTAAAAAAGGGAGCGACCAAGTGGAACGCCAATTGGAGCTTTATGGTGATTCGCACTAAGACACCCTTTAGGGGATGAAGTGCCAAACCCTGCTAAGCGACCAAGATTGAAGACTGTAAGGAATGTTCATCCCCAAGCGTCAGAGTGATTATGGGGGCAACACGACTAACCAGGGGACGACGCCGTGGCGAGAAAGCCTATGAAAGCGGCTAAGTCAGGAGCATAAGATCTGCTGATCACGTGAGCGACCAGCAAACCTTGAAAATATGGCAACGCCACAGGGATTAAAATAACCCGAAAATGGCTAAGTCAAAAGAGGCGAGGTATTCTCTAATTAAGATCTGAGGAAACCTGAACGCTTAAAATGATATGCGAAAGAGAAGAAGATGGAACTTGTAAGTAAACAGGTAACATCAAAGTATATTTATGAAAATGTTCATTACATTTCAAGGATAATCTCTTGCATCTGCTACAATACAGTTGAGAACAATCTCTACATACTTCCAAAAGAAGGGATATTGTCCCATACATTTCTTACAAGGAAAAAGAAAAATCTTGAACTTGGTGAGCGGCTGAGGCCCAGAAAGGACGAAGGATCCAGGGGAAACAGGCAAGGTTGAAGGGTAGTTCTGCAGCAGTATAGGCCGACAGAACTCCGATCACCGGCCGTCCAGAGCGACCACCTTTCTTCTCCATCATGGAATAGGAGTGGTCGCCCCCAGCCTCGGCAAAAACCCACCGTCCTTCTCCTACCAGGGAAGGACGAGAGGCAACTCACTTTTCTGTGAGCCCCAATCGGCATAACCTAGATGAGGATGCAGACCCTGAAGCCGCTCGAGCTACCCTAGATCGCCTAGGGGCCTTCCGGGGAGGCGAGCGACTAGTAGGGCGAGGTAGGGAAGAATCCAGTTCTTCCCCCACCACAAACTCATCTTTAGGCCTCACTGGGGAACTGGTGCGACTTTCGTTAGTCCATCGCTCCACACTCATGTAATATGCGCACTCATGCTCTAAGAGGGGTAAGTGCTCATCGTGAAAGCTCTCCCAGGCCATGAATTACACCGAATGGAGGGGGCATGGGGCATCCCAGTCAATCCGCCCGTCAGGCAGACGGTTGACAGAGAGAGCCTTGTACGCCTCGCTGAAATCCTCATAAGGGTTTGGGGGAATCGGCGGCGGTTTCACCGATGGCCATTGCCGGCGAGGCAACCGGCGACAGAATTCGTAAGAGTCTAGCCCCCCCAGTCATTGGAGTTGACTGACTTGGGGGAGGAGGCAAGCTCCGGCGAAGGAGGCGGTCCGTCGGAGAAATTCAGAGAAATGGGAAGTCCTTCAGACATGACAAAAATGGAGAAAGGGAAAATATTTGGTGATGGAACAAAGTGAAGGCTAGGGGGGCTTATAAATAAGCCCAGGTGGAGAAACCGAAGAGACGGTCAAGTCCCAAGGCAGCTGAACCGATAAAGCAGCTTTGAGCCGCGTGAAGGTCCAATCAGAGATTGCAAGGGGCATTGGGTCAGTTGGGCGGCACGTTGGCCAATCCTGAGATTGGGCCTGGTCAGGTAATCGGGCCGGGATTAGAAGTTGGGCCCGAACAAAACGTCCACGATTAGCCAGCTAAATTGAAGAAGAGAGTACTGAAGTAAAACGCCGAAAAAAGGGAAGCACATAGTAAACCCAGCAAGTCAAATAACATGGGAGCATTGTACCAAAACGACAAATCATTCCAAGAGGAAAAAATTATAAGTGTTTGACAAAGTTGACAACAAGGGAGGTTAGAAGCTCGAGCTGGGGTTTCCACCTACCTTGGACGTGGTTAAGCTGGCCCCCGGATTCCGGTCACCCTGACCATCTTCTTCTTCTTCTTCTCCTTCAGAAGCGCTCGAGCTCCCTCCGTCCAAGTAAGGACTGGGGTCCAACTCGGCCAAGGAACGACAGGGAGGAGGAAAGCCGAGGTCGAGGAGAGAGAATCCTTTGGGGAGCTGAGCTAGCCTGTCACGGAAGACTTGTTGGGCGCGAAAGAGTCCATAGTTGAAGGACTTGGTCCCCTCATTGACCATCCATTGGGCCCCAGGTTTGGTTTTGAGCCATTCGGCTGTCAGCTTGTCCATCCGCTCCAGAGTGACCATTGTAAAATCAGGAGAGGACTTAAAGGATTCGACCGCTTCCTCTGCGTGGCGGACCCGGTCGCTCCTCTCCACCTCCAACTGCTGGATCAGGTCAGACTTCTCCCCTTCCAGCTCTACCACACGAGCAGAAACAACTTATACTTCAGTGGACAAGGACGCCTTATCCGCCTCAAGGGCGACGCAGCGGTCCGCTTGGAAGGCTTTCTCTGCCACCAGAGCAGCACAGCGGCTCTCTTTCTCCTCCAACTCCCTTGTAAGGCGGGCAACCTCTACTTGCAACTCCTTCTGCTTGGCCTCCGATGTCTTCATCGCTTCGTTCAAGGCAGCTTGGCGGCCCCGTTTCCGGCCGACCACTTCAATCATTCCTAGTGTGCCCTGCACCAAAGCATAGAGGTTAGGAATGTAAAGGGAAGGATCGGTGCAGAGGAAATTAAGACAAGTACTTGACTAAGCCTCAAGAGGACCATGTTGTCAAGGTCGTCCTCAGAACCTACTGAGATACGGGCTTGGTCTTCTGCAGGCAGAGTGATTAGAGTCTCCAGTTGCACATCCCCTAGGCTTTGGGGCGGAGAAGGAATGCAGAGCCTCGTCGAGCGACCCCCGGTCGCCACCTCGTAGGTCACTGCGGGCGGCAAGGGAGGTCGCTCTGAGGCAACACCCTAGGACGACCCAACGAGGTCACCACCCGACATCACAGAGTGTGGACGGGACTGGCCCGCCATTGTACCCGTTTCCAGGGTAGCATCATCTTGGTCCTCCACAACAATTAGAGCCGGCTCTCGGGGAGGACTTTCCCCTTGGTGAGATGAAGAGCGTTTGCCCTGGCCCTTTGTTTCTCTCTTCCTCTTCCTTCCTACCGTGAAGCGACTGAGTAGGAGATTGTTATCCATCTCTTCTTCTAGCTCTGGTGATTCGACTGAAAACAATGAAAATGGTTAGCCTTTGAAGGAAACAGACTGGAGTTTTGGCAAAAAGGAGAGAGGAATGCATTACCAAAAGGACCGCAGTCAAGACCTCCCCTAGGAGTGTCCCTTAGCTGGTCATGCTGAGACCCTCCGGGATTGTCTCTCAACAGGTCAGGCTGGTGGCGAAGTTCGTCTCGAACGAACTCAAACCCCAGCTCGGTGAGGGACTCCTCTGACACCACTTCCTTAATGTTCATGGCCCCCTTATTGCAAAGTTGGCGGGTAATGGACGGGAGGGTGGCGTCAGATGGGGGACATGGGATGCGACGGAAGGAGGGGCGCCCTGAACCCGTAAAAGGAGATTCGGGCCCTGTTGAGACAAAAACAAAGAAGGGCTTCCAGTCCTTAGTTGACCCCTTCTTGTCACTGGTGAAGAGCTTACTGGACCTCTGGGAAAGGCTGGCATAGGACGCCCAGTCCTTGTGGCCCTTGGTCAGCTTAAAAGTGAACAAGAAGTGGTCTAGGGTGGGCTTCACCTCTACATCCTTGCATCTGACCAAGTAACCGGCGATATACCGGTGAGAGTTGGGGACTAGTTGGCAAGGAAGGAGGTCTACCAAGTTGAGGAATTTAATTAGTAGCGGATGGAGGGGGAAGCACAGCCCTTTCTTCAGGGAAGCCAGATGGACTGTGAAGAACCCCAACGGATCGTATAGAGCCGTCTGGGTCTTGGTAGGTCTCAGGACCTCGATTGAGGGTCCAACCATATCGGTAGCATCAGCGAACCCCGGTCAGTAATCTGGCAATGGCACAACGCCATTATGTTCTCGTCTAATTCAACCCTAGAGCCCTCATCCGCCGGGGTCGAGGAAGGAAATTGCTTCCTCAACCGGCACCGTTTTTGGCTAGTTACGTCCGACGGCGACGGCCGAGACGATTGAGTGTGGCTTGGGGTGCGGCCAGAGGCCGAATGATCGGCTTGGCGAGAGTTAGATGATGGGGTGGCTGAATCGGAATCAGAAACAATCATGACGGCGAGAAAGGGAACTGACTTGGAAAGGAAGAAAACGGGTCGGGTAGCAGCGGAATCACAGACGAATGATGATGGAGAAGGAGAAAGAAAGAGATGGCGTCCAGCGGCGGTTTTTAACTGACAATGGGAATGCGAAGCAGCAGGTCATGATTACCCGTCTGCGGAGATTGTGCCCAAACGTCACGCGGAACCCAAGGGACGGCCCAGATCCACGCTGGAGCGCCCACGTGGACTTCGTGAACTCCCCATCCCTCAACTCAGCCCAGTTGAGGAATGAGGAGTTGGGGGGCTTGTGATGGGCCGATATCCAACGGGTGGCCCAAATGAACTGTTTAGATGACTCCGGGTCCAACGCTTGGGGAATACTTAGGTTTGGGCCGGCCCGTGGAACTAAGACCGGTCAATTCCAGTCCAAGAACAGCTTGTAGAGTTAACCTGGAGGAGGAGACGGAACCGAATGACGGAGACGAAGCCGGAAAAAGGGGATCGCGCCATTGACGGGATAGACTCCATTAATTCTGTATTACCTTAATTGCCTAAAACTCATGTATAAATATAGAAGGTCTGAAAGGGGGAAATTCAAGCTAAATCAAGCTAATAATACATACTCAATTCTCGAATTCTCGTTCTTAATTTTGTTCTTACGATCCGTTCTCTGATCTGAATCGGATCATTTGGTGGATTTATTGTCCATCACTATGTACCAAGGGGTACCATGCGATTACGACGATGACGACATAGACTTTGACGTTCTCGCATGGTGGAAGCGGAACGAACACATGTTCACATGTCTCGGAATGCAAGCTACACAAGTTTTTCCCTCCCGGTATCAACCATATCTGTGGAACAAGAATTCAGTTCTAGCGGCAACATTCTAACCAACTACCGAAGTTGTCTTAATGCCAAATCTCTTGATATACTTGTTTGCAACCGAGATTGGTTCTTGGCAAGATGTCGAGCTCAAGAGTCAGGGTACGAATTCAATAGATAAGTCACCCTTACTGCCACTCTACAGAACCGTACATGAGATTTTCACCTCATACGGCTCTTCGTTCAATTCTTTGGATGCCTTTTCTTCGCCTCGATAGAGTAACTAAGAGTGTGTTACAAATGCAACATGTTTTAGTGAAAGTTTAGCTGATCCAGACTTGTACCCTTATGTCTCTCCTATAAGGGATAAATGATGTACTTATTATTTCTACATTCCTGATATTTATAAAATTGGTATTATTTGTGATCATCGCTTTAAGATTTTAAATTTTAAAATTCTGATTGAGTATTACTACACTTGTTTTTTAGATGAAAATAATTATTACTACAACCATTAAATAAAATGGACAAAAGAAAGAGAAAATGCTATTGATCGTTTTTATGCTTTATTTAAAGAATTTCAAGAAATGTACGGTAATGCATTGGAAGAAAAAACACCTCCTCCGCCCGCAAAACAAAAATAGGTTTTAAAGGAATAGTCGGCGGGCTTTTGGCAAAAAAGGTAAACGTGGTCAGCCTTCAACGAGTTCAGATGGTACAACTCTAAGCTCGCACAACAAACTTGCTATGTACTAAGGGGTGACATGCGATTACGACGACGACAACGACGTAGACTTTGACGTTCTCGCATGGTGGAAGCGGAACGAACACATGTTAATGTAATTATTCCCTCCGTCCGGAAATATTCTTCCTGTGTTCACTTGACACGCTTATTAAGGAATAATAAAAAAATGCAAAACTTTCAAAAATTGCGCATACTATAAACGTTTAAATCTCCTTTTATTATTAAAAAAGTACTAAAAAAGTAGATTTGTGATAAAATAGAAGAGTATTATTGATATTTATCCTTAAAAAGTATACTAAAAAAGGAAATGGGAAGAATATTTCTAGACGGACCAAAAAGGAAAGTGGGAAGAATATTTCCGGACGGAGAAAGTATTTTTTTAGGGGAGCGATATATAAGCTCCTTCGAGGGTTTATTTACGGTTCTTTACATCGTCACTTTTTTTGAACCGTCAAGATATTAAATGTAGTTGTTCGTGTATTAGTATTACTCATTTTTCAATATTTAAATAACAACTATATTTTAGACCTTTTATTTCATTATTTGATTTATTTCTTTAACAATTACACATTTACACTTTTAAAAATTTAAAAAAGGGGGGGGGGGGGGGGGGGTTACCGAAACCGGCCGGTATGGTCCCGGAACTGCCGGTACGGGTACTGGAACCGATACCGTCCGGTCCGGTGACAGTATCAAGGGGTGGCGGTACCTGATCCGTCTCAGAACCGTACGGTGTCCACTCCTATTTAAGATTGTTATGGTTCGATAAAAAAAGTTAAAATACAAAATAATATATACTCTCCGTCCTAAAATATTCTTCCCAGTAACTTTTCACATGAGCAAACTTTATTCACTTTCTTTAACTATTTTTATTAGATATTTGATAAAATAATATAATCTTGTCACCACTTATTTTGTAGAATGTTTGATGTAGTTTTTAAATATATAAATTTTATTTTTTAATTTTACATCTACAATCAAATAAATTAAATTTAAAATTAAAATCGGTCAAACTTAGTAAATAGAAACAAGAGAACATTATACTCCGTAATTTATAAGGGAGAAAAACGGTGAGTGAACAATAAAACCGAAAAAAAATCTGAATTTGAAAGGCGCGAATGGAGCATTGAACGCCACAGTTTGAAATTTGAATTGATCAAATTTGAAATTTGAAAGTTGAAACTTAAATTAAACAAAAAACCTGCAATAAGCGAAGCCGGAGTGTCAGAATGTAAGTTGGCAGTTGGCACGCGCAGGCCGTAGTATTATGACATTTTTCAATGCAATTACTCCGTCTTGATTATAAATAGGAAAATGATGGGTGTAGCTCCAAAGATCTTCCACCCCTCCATCACCACACAAAAAAGGCAATAAAATTTCAAAAAAAAGTAAAAAATAAAAAGAAATTTTGGGGTACACCCTAACATATCCCTTATAAATAAGGATTTAGGAGAAGAAATATTTCACTTGTTAAAATTATTTTCTTTATAAATTGATATATCGATAAAAAATAAAAATTGCATTTTAAAAAATAGTATCAAAAGTTCTATAAAAGAAAATGTAACAAAAATATTTTATTTTATTAAATACTTAATGAAATTACTTATACTCCATAATCAAAAAGAAGTAGGGAGTACTTTTTATTGTTTATTGAGAGTTTTTATTTAGAGAAATAATTAAGTTTTAGTACTATTTAATCTAAATACTTAGTACGTAGTATTTCTTTTCTATAAATGGGAGTTTCTTTAGTCTCTGCCATTCTCAATGGCTAGTCTAGAGCAACGTAGATACGGAGTATTTCTTACTCTCTCCGTCCATTACTGTTTGTCCACTTTCATTTTTGCATACTATCCAATGCACTTCTTTAATCTATTTTATCTTGTAATTTGTATATTAAAAAATTATAAAAATTATATATTAATAATTTATATGTTAAGACGAATCAAACAAGATCACACATAACTATTTTTAGGCTTATACATTGAGAGAATTTGATGAGTCAAAGTGCTTATATGAACAGTTCTAAAAGTAAAAATGGACAAACACTCAGGTACTAAGTATTCAGTAATTTTTGGGCTAATCAATTACAAACAAGAACGCTTAACATTGATTGAGAGTTTTCGATGGGAAGACATCAAAAATCAATTACAAACAAGAATGCTTGCAGATGGTTTTGGGCTAATAAAGAACGTTGCCGCCGGAAAATCCCTTACTCGGCAGCGGCGGGTAGTTCTTGCACACTGATCGGTAATTGCCGCCGGGAAAATCCCTTACCATTCTGTGGGTGCCGTGTAAGTGTAATCATTTCATTAATATTCTCTCCATTTTATCAGTAATTTCCACGCCGAGTATAAGCTTGCCCCTCTAGGCCTAGCAGCTCTGACAACGATAAAAATAAGCTTTTTGTGTGTGTGTGTGTGTGTTTCTTATTTGATATGCCCATTTCATTAATGTAGTAATAGAAAGGCAGGACCTCAGATCGTCCTTTGATTCCTTTCCCTGTTTGGATGGGGTGAAAATGGAGAGGAAGGAAAAAGCATGAGAGAAAACACAAATTCTAAAATTGGGGAAGAGGCGAGAAAATCGCATAGGTGGAGAGAAAAGTTCTGAAATGACAATTTCGCCCGCCCTTAAATCATTTCAGTTCTAAAGACCTAGCTACTTGGGATATGATGATGTTTGTATAATAATTATAAGGGCATTCAAATATAAAAAGATAGCCTTTCTTCAAAGTTCAAACAAACAAACATACAAACCCCGAACGTCATCTTTCTTCATTGCAATTGCCACCATATACCCTTATTACCTCCTGCATGCCTCTACCCTCCATCTTCACCATTACCTCCTACTTGTCTTCCACAGAAATATGGATACAAGGGTAGAGGAAGGTACATCGGCTGAGCCTGTGGAGGAGATCCAAAGTATCCTTCTCATCCAAAATATTTTCAGACCTGAAACTGATGTTGCTTTTCCCCTTTTAGTTCGCGCCCCTAATCTGGACTTGTACACTAGGTACACTTGCCCTAGGACAGCAATGTCTACAACCTTTAGCACGCCTCAAAGCGAAAACTATGCTCAAAGAATTAGTCCGGTTC